GAAAAAAAGAAGGAGAAAGTGAAAGAGAGAAAATTGAAGGGGGGGGAAGAAAAAAGGGAAAAAGAAAAAAAGTAGAGAGACAACTTTGTCCTCAACACATATATGCAACCAGGACAATTTAAGCCTAAGATAACTCCTGTTGCATGCGTGGTTAATTCCCAGAAACAATTAGTCATGGTTTCCAAGTCCAGAGCAACAGAAGCACAGCAAAGCATTCGGAAGAAATCTTGTGCTGAACTGTATGTGCCCAAAGTCGTCATCACTACTCACAACCCCCTCTAAGCATGTGTCCAGAACACAACATAGCACAGTCTCACCATTAACACAGTGTGCCCTAATTCATCAAAAACACAAAACCTCGCTTGTCTGCTCTCCTCCTTTCTTTTGATAGCTTCCACCCCCCCTTATAGTTCTTTTTACTCTCCCCCATCTGCATAACGTGTCCAGCCAACTTTAGAGAACCTCTTAATTTCTCACATCCAAGGAAAAAAAAAAAAACAACAAACCCAAACCACCAGAAATCTCTCCTAGCTTATATTCCTTCCCCTTCTTCTCACACCACCTTCACTCGTACAGCAATACAGCAGTTTTTATGATATAAAAATGCAGTAGGAGAGCTTACTATCCCCAAGAACAAGGGCAGAGGGGGTGCTTTCACCAGAGGTCAACAGAAAATCCACAAAAGCAAGCAGAAGTCGACTTTGTACAGTGAAATCAAGCATTCTCCCCTCTTAGCAATATTAATAACCATTCTAGCTCAACGAGTATAGCGGACACATTGCATTAATCTCCTTCTTAGCAACTCTCTGCACTGGGAGTTTTGAGTCCCACATTTGTCCAACAACTGAATGATTGCTCTGTACAGCAAAATTGAGCTAAAAAACCCGTTCACGTCGTTTACGCTGTAATAAACAGAACCTCAGAGCAATTTACAGACATCCCAACTGCCGTAATTGCTGCGTTTTACCAGCACAAAGGCTAAATTTAGACAAAAGCCGATCCCCATCACTCAAGACGCCCAATAAATCGTTAACACGTGAAGACAGATTTATTTCAACACCGAACTTCGGTAACGCGGACGGTTCCTACAACAACGGCGGGAGCGTTGGGTTTTTTTTCCTCCTGGCGGTGCCGAAGGACGTGCGATCCGGACACCGAAGGGAGTGGGGCGGGGACCGGCCCCGCCGCCCGGGCCGGCGCCACCGGAGGGGGACCCGCGGAACGCCCCCGCCCGCGTCCACCGGGATCGGGGCGGTAGACCGAGCGCTCCCCGGCGGCGGGAGGGTCAGCGTTCCCGGGGAGCGGCTCCCGAGCCTGGGGAAGGGGCCTCCCGCCCCTCACCCGGCCGCCGAGCGGGGTCACCGGCCCCAGGAGCGGGACCCGGG